GTAAACCGCTCAGCACCGTAATTTCACGCACCAGGTTTCGATAGCGGGGGCACGTGCTGCGCATGCCAGCCCATCGACTACGGCGACGTGCGTTGTTTGCGCGTCCGGAGATGAGGATGGAAGAAGAGGAGAAGTGGCCAAGCAACGACTTGGTCAAGAGGAATGAAGCCCTTAATTAGAAGTTGGCCCCGACTGGAGTCTCTCGGCTCGCTGGTTGGGGACCAACATCATCATCAACAGAAGTAAATCAGCCATTTCAACTGATGCTTCGCTCCCATACCACCTTGATGACCTATGGAATAAAGAATAATAAGAGGGAAAGAAGGGGGATTTACCTGAAAACCTTTATGCCCTAAGCAAACATTCAGGGTCAAGGCACTTACAACTTGTGTTAACAACCTACCGTCACAAACAGCTGGCTATCGTGCAAAGATAAGGCGGCATCGGCACCAAACACACTTTAAACAGGCAGCCCGATTAGGAGACGGTAGAAGGCGCGCCACTGGTGTCTACTGCGAGCCATATCCTGTAAAGTCTCGAGCCAAGCACAAGGCGAGTTACGTGGACTCCAGCCTGGAAGGCGAGACGGACCAACGGCACTTAGTTTGGTAGTCAGTGACTTCATTTCCCGCTGCCAAGTCAACTTCTGTCCACCTCGAGCCTTGCGCCACCCTAATAATGTAATAATAATGTGTCAGCTGTACGCCGCAACGGCGCTTCGCTGCCGCGCGACCACCATCAGTCGCGCGCGGGCTGAGTATACCGCGAGGACGCCCACCCCTACGCGGATTCGAACCGGTGACGTTAGGGTTGCAAACCAAACGCGCAGACCACTCGGCCACCGGCAGACTAGACAATGCCCTCCTAGGTAAGCGGTGACCAGGCATACGTAGCACGTGCCAGAGCCAACGCAACTTATTCAGTGCTATCTGTTGTTCTAGGGAGCTAGCATGATTATCACCACTTAGTACTCGCCTACGCACATCATCGTTGCGGACACGCTGGTGCCATCCGACAAAACGATGATCAAAGACTTGAAGGCGCCTCAGATCTTCAGACCGAAGGGGCCAAGTCTCACTGCCACACCGCAGAACGACCCTCACTGTGGCCTTGTATACCCGGCCTTTCAGACGTACAGAAACTCCCTTCTGTCACCAAAGATGCCGCAGGTTCAAGAAGGTAGCTCTCGCCTTTGCAATGCGTGAGCTGACGTCAGTTTCTATGTGCCCATTGTTGCTGATGCAGCTGCTAAGATAAGTGAATCAATCAACCACGTCGCGTTCCTCATTAGCAAGCGTCAAAAGGTCACCAAGTGCCTGGTGGTCCTGCAGCAACACTTTGCACCTTGAAGGTGTGAAATGCAAACCAAATAATGGGACCACTCTGGACAAGCTAGTCAGGGTTGAGTGGGCCGCCCCAACATCGTCGAAAAGCAAGACGATATCGTCCGCATAATCTAGATCAACTAACCTTTCACCATGCAGCACTTCAACGCCTACATCGTGAGATTCCGCAAGGGAACACTCCATGATAGAATCCATGACGAAATTAAAGAAAAATGGGGAAATCGGACAACCCTGACGAACGCCACTTGTGGTCGGAAAGCTATCCGACAGATCACCGTAGACCCTGACGCGGTCTGTAGTGTTCGAGTATGGAGCACGAAGGATGTTCACATATTTCGTGGGAACACGTTTCCGCGCAAGTATATCGTACAGAATCGATCGACCGAGTGAATCGAACGCACTCTTGAAATCGAGGAACACAGCTATTATCGGTCTGCGTTATGTGTGGCGCTGCTCTAGCACCTGCCGCAAAGTGAATATATGGTTCATACAGCCCCGTCCTGGGCGGAAACCGGCCTGCTCTTCCTTAGTCCGAGATTCACGTTGCATAGTGAGGCGACGAACGATAATCGAAGCCAATAATTTTGTCACAACTGGCGTTAGACTAAAACATCTGTGGTTAGAACAGTCTGTGCGACTGCCCTTTTTGTATATTGCCACTATAATCGATCCGCTCCAATTAGTCGGCACACTTTCCAGATAGTTCGAATAGCGAAGTCAATGCTTTGCAGAGGACCTTACCTCCATCCTTAAATAGTGCAGGGGGAGGGAATCCGGGCCAGCGGCACGAAAACGATTGAGGGCTGTGATGGCGTCTCGGACCTCGGCCTCCGACAGGCTCTAAACTAACCGTCCATGGCTCGTCCTGCATCACCTGAGTAGGAATAGGTCCGGGAGTGATCGTGAAAGTGTTCCGTCCAACGAGCCATACGGCGTTCCTTATAGTGTATCAGCGCACTCGCGCTGTTTCTGATTGTCTCACTGACGCCTGGTTTTCTGGGACCAGTGGTGCGGATTAGCTTGTGGTAAATGCCTACTGCTCCTGCCTCCTCCATTTCTTGAGCTCTACTGGTCCACCAGACTTCCTTGTAAGCGCGTAGGCTCTGCTTTAGGTCACGCCTAATAGGCCGTCTGGTCACATTGTGTTCAGAGCCAGCTGGGAGGTGTCTTCTAGATTCCGAAGGACGATGAACACGTTTGGTTGGATACACTTGTCGACACGGCTAGAAGCAGACCTCAATGGCGTGTGTGTTGTGAGTTCTTTTGTCCACGCCCTTCCGCTTAGCCTCCCCCTCTAACCAAGATCTCAATTAATAAGTATTACATGACTTTTTGCGGTATAATAGACGGCTGCTAGCTTATGGAACGATGTACATCCGTTAATGGTGACTCGACCGATGTGCCTTTGTTTCACTTCTTTTCTTTTGTATAGCGGCACCATAGCTGAGGTGTTTTCCAGCCAGTAGCTTGCGAACATAATGATGATTTTTGGTTAATACTGATGCCCACTCGGTACATTTTATACTTGGTAGAACCACAAAAAGATGTACAAATACGATGAGTGGCGTTCGGTAACAAACTTGGTCGGCTGGCCAGCCGAACAACTTCCCCTTGACGCCGGATGGGTAGTTCGAGTTTACCCGTTCTAGCAAGTAGTTCGGCGGAAGTGCTCCATGACGTGGTGAGTTTTTCGCCTGGCAAGCGTTCTCTATAAAAAACCAAGAATGTCCGTTTAACAACACTGTGACGGGGCAGCAGTGATCCGCAACCAGCTAAAGTCACCGCCCTATGCTTATCTGTACAATCGTTTCAAGTTCACGGACGTCAAACATCCCTTTAGCACTGGCGACACGTTCAGACACAAGCAAAGGTGCAGCAAAACATTTAAAAAGCCAGACAATACAGCTACAAACGCCCACGCGCACACATACATTCATATGAAAAAAGATTTGGCTATCCTATTACAGTGCTATAGTACATTTTTTGAGCACTTGTTGCACTCTTACCATGATCATGCCTGTGCAGGCGTGCTTCGATTAGTCGAGAATAAAATTTATGTATTTATGTATTTATTTAATGACCAGCAGTACATCAGCCATTTGAGATAACGCTTTGCTGATGCACAAACATGGTGACTCAAAGAATTAATAATAAGAGGAAAAGGAGGATCTAGCGTAAAACCTTAATGCCCTAAGCAAACATTCAGGATCACGGTTCTAACACGTTGTCAATAACATACCATCGCAAACAGCTGCCTATATTGCAGAGCCGGCATCGGCGAAACATATTCCTTGTGGTTTTCATTACCCCAAGTCATAACTAGCCATTACCCCGCAAATAAAACAGCACCAAACAGAATTCAAACCGGCAATCCGATTACGAAACGACAGCAGAAAAGAAGGAATCAGCAGTACGCCGGTACGCAGTACCGACGCTTCGCTGCCGTGTAACTACCACCGGTCGCACGTGGGATAAGGATACTACCAGGGTCGCCCTGCCCTTACGCAAGCTCGAACGCGGGTCTCCAGCTTACGAGGCAAGCTCGTTAACATTAGGCCACGAGCCGGCAGACGACAGCAGACACACCATTGATGCCGACTCCGAGGTATGTCTTTTAACGTGTCGGGCAAAGCACAATGAAGGCCACGTGGACTCCGGTCTGGAAGGCGAGGCGCAACGACGGCACTCGGTCTTGCAGTCTGTGACATTAGGTTACAATGCCAACTTGCACTAAGCTAAAGCCTCGCGCTATCCTACACCTGGCAAACAAAACAAGGCCCTCCTCGGTAAGCAGTGACGGTGTCATTGTTCTAAGAAACTAGCCTAGCACGCGCCTACTCATATCATCGTTTGGAACATGTTGGTGCCACCCAACACCAGTAACGCTTTGCAGACAGCGATGATCGAAAGATTTCAGAGCGACTTGAATTCTCAGACCGATGGGTCTTGGAAACGGGTTTCTGAAAGGCAGCAGACATCAATGTCTGGGGACTCTAGGGTGCGCGCTAGACGGGCTTGCTGTCCAATCTACATGAGTGTCCGAACGTTGAAGCAGGCCAGACGGAAGGAGGATCGGGAACGAAGGAGAGCCATAGGTTGAACTCCTTTGTCTGCGGCGCAACCGCAATCGCAGCCAGATTGCCAAACACATGAATCGGGTAAAGGAAAGTGAGGATTGTTAGCAAACGAACAACTCGCGTGTGATGAAGTCGCGTGAATGTGAGAAGCATAAAAAGTAGCTAATGAGCACATTGTAGTAGCTTGCAAGTCAATCGTATAGAACTGGGGAATGTCAGTCTTTAGCGTCACTGGAGTAACCAAGGTGAAACTAGCTGAATGAAGTGAGTTGAAACAAGTTTGATGATGAAGCGAACGGGAAAAAGCTGCATAAAAATGCTGATACTTACGTTCAAAATAATTCCGGAGAGAGGATCAGAAGGCCTTGATAGTAATCGTTGCGTGCTCTGAAAAATGAGTCGCAAAATGGTGCAGACTTACGAGAATGGGATGGCGGAACGCGTCCACAACGTTTAAGCGTGAGGTCTCGCGCACGAGCGAAGGTTTGCCGATTCGGGCCTCAGCAAACTTAGCCATGGTGCCAATACCGTACTTTGCGCCATAGACTCCGCCAGCAAGCAGAGTAAGCGACCCCACGGCAGTTGCAACCTTACTCCGCTCCGACAGAAATGCGTTAAATCCATTGCCCAAGACAGAACCTACAGTAGAAATTGACTCTAAGATTGTTTGGCGATTTTCTTTTGCCTCAAGCCTAGCTCGCTCTAGTCTTATCTCGCGATTTTCTCGTTCTACTTGTGCTTCGCCACGCAGCTTCGCTTCAATCTGTTTCATCTCGTTTTTGTGTCGCAACTCGGACTCAAACTCGATGGTACCTAGAAAGTGTTAGACAGATAACAATGTTACTTCGTCTAAGAGCTTCTTGTCTTTTAACTGATTCCTCTTGTTTCTTCAATGACTCTTCCTGCATCCGAGCCTTTAATGAAGTAAGGAGAAAGAAGGGGAACATGATACTTGTAACGCTAATTGGTCCTCCTGACGCTTGCGAGCAAGCATATCCTGATAGTCCGCTCGTTGTTTCTGTATGCGGGCTTCCTCCTCCAATGTCTTCCGTCTTTCTTCTTGCTGCGTTTTATATTGCTGCATTTTTAATTGCTCCATACCTAGCTCATATTCCTGAAAAATGTGAAGCAAACTTAGTCATACCTTGAGCTTGACCTCGTATTCCTTTTGAAGAGTACGCTCATGACTCTGTGAAAGCTCAAAAGCTTCCTTTGCATGTTCTACACAATAAACAAATACGAAAAGAACACCTACTCGATGATTCTAATTCTCTAGCGGCCTTGGCAGCTCGCTCGAGAGCCGCAGAATCGAATCGATAACTTGAAACCGTGTCCTCATTTGGAGCAGATTCCTTTTTAGGTACTGGCAATTCAGGTGCACCTCCAAGAGCAACTGAAGGACCATCCGTTGAGAGTGGCTTCCCATAGCCGAACAACCACGACATGGTTAGCAAAGGCGCACTTTATCTGCAGACAAGGCCAGGTAAATTAAGGTCATGTTCCAAGGACGAAAGCTGCTTCCTTCTAACAAGTTCATTTTCAAGTAGGACAGGAACAATAGCATTGTCACGTGAATGTTCGCTCAGCTACAAGTCGAAACCAATGCACACTTTGAAATACAGATGGACCTAAAACATGGATCACATCACATCCTTTCCAACCAACTATTACTTGCTAATGACTGCCTTGGCAGTCCCTGTTACGTAAAAAGAAAGAAAAAATAAACAGTGGGCAAGAAGTGTAAAAGCAAATGCTAAATAGGCACAAAGCCGATGTCAGTCATTTTAAATAACTGAAACCCGAAGCTTCCTTTTACATTGATTTCATTGGGTTTTAGAGAGCAGGAGGGAAATCCCTTGTCAGCCCCATCGATTCCTTATCATACTGGGTTTGATGCGTGTCGTTGCTTTACGACGTTCCTCGAGGGTTCGCCGCAATTGCAGTGACAGCCGCTAGATTCCAGCATTCTCAGCGAAATGTTGTCTATCAGCCGCTTGAACCTTTCCTCGGATGTAGCATCTGCAATTTCTTCCAGTAGGCTGTTCTAATCATTCACCACTCTGGTGGCTAGGGTGACATCCATGCGTGGACGGTTTTGAACAAGGAAAGGTTTAGTGTTTCCACCCAAGAGCATCGAGATGACGCGTAAAACCATAACTGGAGCTTTACTAACCAAATGACCATAAAATGAATTCCAGCGCTCTATAACTCTGTGCGACAGAAGAGTTTCCGTCCTAATCCCCTCGGACAGTGGTTTTTGTAGCTTTAATGGGTGATCGCAGAGCTTAGGTAAATTAGCGGAATTAAATAGCCCTGACTACATTACCGGTATCAACACCCAAAAGGCGCCTGTTAGCCGCCCGATAGGCGCCCGTTGGGCTCCCATAATTCCTCTTGTGGACTCAAATTGCGGTCGGTCGCGAGTGCCCGTAATTAGTTCAATTTTGTACTAAATTCAGGTGCATAGTACGAGTTTGCATCCGTATTACCTCCATCGCCGACGACTTATTTTAACGACGTATAAACAATTATTAAGCCTGTTGAACGCTTCTGCACAAAGGACTCTGCATCGTAATCCATTGTCCCCTCGTACGGCCTGATTGCAGCTCTTTCCTGGCGCCAAAATTACTCTCCTTCCGGATTTACAGTAGCTAATGGCGAATGAATTTCTTTATTAAGAGGGTCCTATCTCGTATAACTAGTAATGTATTGCTACTACGAACGCAGTTGTCTGCGCGAACCTTCTCTTAAGGAACCAGAATTGTTCCCATATACAAGAGTCCCTTTTACAGGGAAATACAGGTGCTAAAATATCAGATCTGCTAATCTATCTACGAGATTTACGCAGCCTAAATCTCAACTACCTGAACGCCATCACCTATGGTACGCAAATCTCCAACAGCTTACAAGCGAAATAGAGGCGCTTAAAGCCAGAATCTAATGTTTAAGTTCCAGTTAAAAGGTTACAAGCTTTTAGAACCTATCCCCTGCATTGTACTGGAAATCCGATAGAAATTGTCACTCTCTTAGATACGTCGTATGCATCGCCGAATCTCGTCGATCACTAGGGATTCTGTGCCTCCCGCAAAACCTTGGCGTGCGGTCGAAGATATATCGCTTTTGTTCACCGAAATAAACGTAGCTCCCCAATTATGACAGGGACAAATTTGCTCCACTTATGCGTGGCTTCGCAAGTACGCCCCACCATTTTACTTGGCGTACCAGCGCAATTGTCATGAAATATTGCATGCTAATACGCATGCATTCCGAGAGTGACTAGCCACCGAGATTCTCGATGTACTCCAACTAAAACAGGTGACGTATGAATATGCGCGTTACCATCTTCTGCATACCGCCTTGGCCTTGCAGCCGCGCCTTAAGGGCGATGAGCAGGTCCGCGAACCTCATCGGTAGTGGGACTTGGCTAACGGCCAGTGCCCCGTGGCGGGCCATCTGTCGAGCCATGAAGCCCATTGTCAGCACCAGAGAATGAACGTGTGGGCGTATCCTGACGAACTCATACTTCCGGTGGTCCAACCTGACTATTGGGGCATAATAAGGGTTACCTGTTTAAACTTACTGCACCAGCCCTTATGGCTGTAATACTATTCATCTGTATGCGTCTCTGGCATTGATGTCTGAGCTAGGGAGGTGGGAATAACTATAAGTGGTAGTACTTACCAATTGCTTGGACATCACCGCCGAAGTGTTCAGCAGGTCTACTTTCACCTAGTCACTACCCGGTGAATATTTCGCGGCTGTAACCTTGTCGGAGGGATGTGTAAGCAGCCTCCACACCGTATAAGGTGCATTGACGCGGCTTATTAACTGCAGTACTGCACTCCGGAAAACGGTCGCATAGACTATAAATTAACTGAGCTTCTGTGCTACATACCTCTGGCATGTTCAATCACGCTCCATGGAAGATGTTTCGCCGCTGGAAGAGCCTCCGACAATTCCGGTAACACATCTTCCAGATTCTTGGCTACGACGTAGTCAACTGCAAATCCATGTGTGCGTAAAGTGGTTCATTTACCGGTATACATGTGAGCCTTCACTTTATACAAAGGAGCTGATGATGGTGGCGGACTGTTGTAAAATATCATAGACGCTTTGCCGTGAAGGGAACTAAGGCCACCGAAGTAGATCATCGCCGACCATCCAGCTGGCATGTACAACCGGTCTGCTAACCTTTTCAATTTAGTCACCGAGGCCACTGACGCTAAGACGTCCGTGGTTATCCTTGGCCACGATATGCAAATAGCGTTTGACAAGGCACCACACATGCGACTGATGCATATGGTAAAGTCCTACGGGGTAGACAGTCCTCTGTTAAACTGGCTGTTCCTGCCTAGTAGGAGGCACACCGTTTGTTAAGTTTGTGCAAACTGCAGCCACCCCGACCTCCATCGCCAGTGGCGTGGTGCAAGGGAGCGTAGTTGACCCTACCCATTTTGATTTATATCAACAACGTCTGCAGCAGTTTGCACCACGGTAACTCTCAATCCTCGCTGATGACGTAGAAGTTGTAGAAGTCTTTCCACCTAATAATGAACTATCCGGAATTGGTAGAATCCGTGAAAAGCTTAAGGCACGTGTAACGTGTGCGAACACTAGCAAATGAGGTTCACAGTTCAAAAGTCTAATATCACAGCCCAAACTTTTCTATACCTACTGGGGCAGTAACATTAAACGTCACTCCTATCCAATAGAATATAATGGCAACACTGCTCGGCATACGCTGCTCCAACAGCCTAAATTGTACAAAGCCATTTCATTATCAACTGGGTAGAATAATCAGATTGACCTCCTAATTAGGCCGTTACATTAACACCGCAGATGCAAGGCTAGAAGTTTAAAAGAGCAACCACCGTCCACAACTTGAATTCTGCTACTATATATGCAGAAACCTGAGAAACCACTTGTAATGGACTCCGAAGGCGACTACACAGCCATAGGAAACATATTGGCGCTGCGTGACTGCTAATATCCGAGAGGGTAATTGGTCAGATACCATCTTGCCAATGTATATCAACAGCCGGCAGTGTTCCAGGACGTGGTGGGTCTTCGTCTGGCAAGCGTTTTCCCTACAAAAAGCCACAAATGTCTGTGTAACAACACTGCGACGTGGCGGATGTGACTCGCTACTCAATAAAGTCACCGCCCCTAACACATTGGCAAGTTGATTGACACCACATTTACAAGTTCTGTGCATATATCGGCTCTCGCATGAACACGCCTACATATCTGACTAGTGACATACCACAGTTCTTAAGTATTTTCCACCCGTTTCCTCATACTTCACTCACTGACCTACATTGCTTACGGGACCTCATCGGACTAGTTCCTCATCAACATACCATATAAGTGATCTGATCACTATTTTTACCTCTCGCATTCTGTGTACATAGACTACATATAACCTTTGGGCTCTATGGGCCCACACTACTGTCTCCAACTTTACTACTCCCACTGTTGGTGCTGCTTATTCCGCTATCATGTACAATAATGCAATATGCTGATCATGCCCAAAAGGCGTGTCTCGCTTTGTCGAGAATAAACTATTTATTTATTTATCACAGCTAGCTCCGAATTATTAAGGAAGGTGCGAAGACCCTAAAACTTAGCCCCTTTAACCAAGACATTTTAGCCCTAACCTGTGCTTTTTACATAAGCTAATTCATAAAATACTGCACAGTAATAGCAGCTGCCTGCAAAACAGCGCTTCTGAACCTAAATACCAAAACATGAGCCACACTATTACCCCGCTCAGGGCGAAGCAGATAACGCCATCTCGTTTCTTCTTTGTTGTTTACGTAAACATGTAAAACAACTTGTCTTACAGGTTAAGCGAAATACAATATCTGCGGACAAACTGGAAGGAGATACAAAAATTCCTATGTGTTGATAATATACAACCCACCAGCCATAGCTGTGATTTCCATGACCATTAACAAGGTATACCTGGCACATAAATCTCTAATGTAATCTTCGCAACCACAGAGGCTAGAAAAATAATGAACTCTATATGTGTAGTGGTTTATGAGCTCAGTATCCTCTGAGGCTGATGTTGCGTTCTTGATGCTTCTTCACCGCAGTTGGGCTAAACCAACTTACACTTAAACTAGGTCTCTAAGTTGCATAAATTTCATTCCAGTTTATTTGGTTAGTTTTGCCTATCTGAATATTCTTCTATTAGCTGTCAACGTTGCTTACGCTAATTGCGCTTATGTTCGGTAATTTTGCTGCGTTTGTAGCAATTTGCGTAACTTGTGGACATTTTTCACTATCGCAGATGTATTGCTAACCAATTTACCTCATATGTTAATTTAGCGAAGTTATGCCACCTTATCTGTATGCATTATTGGATTTATTTTATTACATTTCGTCGTTTTAAGTGATTGGCTGTTGCGTGCCATCCCCGGTGTGGCTGCGCTTGATGTGC